TGTACACATTGTTTTGGATGTTTCTCCTAAGCTCTTATTGGCTGGACGTGTTTGTATGCTAGGCTTTTGCATAGTCTAGCCACTTTTGTTTATACTAGTCGACATGTACGTGCAACGTACGTAGTTGAATATCATGATTATTTAAATTGATAAAAATAGAATAAAAATAAAGAAAATACAGTTTTTGTGGAATTGATCATCAACTCAATAATCTCTCTCTCAAATAAAATATTGTTATTATTTCCTTCAACCTAGGCTGTAGTCATGTGATCTACTATTTATGAGTTATAAACACATTGATCTAGTACAACATCTCTGTTTATTAGTATCTTGAAGTCTTCAAAAGATGGGTGATCATTCAATTTGTAAAGGAATTTTGCACATAAATTTACTTGTAATATGTTCATTAAACTTTTAGTTGTGGTTTGGCAATTCACATTAACTTTCACTCATATTCATATTATCTAATATTCTCTTTCAATTCTACAGCTCAGTCTCCATGTCATAGAAGTAAAACTGAAAGTATGAAGAATTATTTTCTTATAAAATTAGAACATGAAGATTATGATATATTTCGACATGTTCTCTAAATATAAAAAAAATTATTATGCAAAGTCCCTATCAAATCTTATCCCAAACAATATGGATAAAAAATGCTATTATAACTCACTTGCCTAGGGCAATTGTATTGTACATAGGACATATAACTCATCTAGAATATCCACATGTACTAAGTTAATTTTGCTGTTTGTGAGAGCAAAATGTTAGAGGCTCATATTCAAACTTTTTAACTCTATAAAAGACATAAGAATTTAGAGTGCATAGCTTATGTATCGTAAAGAACATACTGGTTTATGAAGAATTTTCTTTAATAACGATATTATTACAGTAATATTACTATTCAGTATTAAATTAATTTTATTATATAAGATTATATGATCATTTTTAATAAATTAAGTATATATATGGAAACCTCGATTCTTATGGTTAGTGGTTGGGCTCTATAAAATATGTTAACCTTACATTGTAGTTTGCTATTAGTAATACTGTTTGCAATGTTATTACATTTTCTCTTTATCTTATTATTCACGCTTTTCTGATGTAAGTTCTCTTTTACTAATCACTCAATTGGCTATATTTAGTTATTATAATATCAGAGGTTAGAATATTCTTTTCTGTTTAAAAAGTATTGACATGAATTTTTTTAAAAATATATACACGTAGTAATAATAGTATATACTTCAGTTCAACTCAAACATTAGCTTGAAGCCATTTAGAGTGAGGTTCTTTCTATGCTAAAATGGTGATATAGTGATTACGTAATCCGAAAGTCAAAGAAGAAATTTTTACAAAGGAAAAGTAATCTAATATATCAAATTAACAACTAATTTATAAAATATAGATGGACAGTACAGATAGATATAATGTATATATCTTCATGAAAATTTCATAGTGAGTGATAAACTACAATCATCCTAATTTAAGCATAAATAATTATTATTTTAATTACTAATTAAATATGCATAACTATGGAATAAATCTCAAGCAAAAAATAAGAATTGAGATTTGTATTATCATGTAGGTTAATAAATAAACGTTATTAGAACTCCTCTTATATCAAATTTAAAAGTAATAATTTAAATGATTAAGCGCCAAATATTAGTTCATGCGATAAAGTAAAGTAATTTATGGTCTATATACCTATATAATCAATCAATCAAACATATTAAAACTATGATGACCACGGTCAAAATTATATGGTGGGTTCACATTAAGTATAATTTAGAAAAAATAGTACATTAAAGTCAAAATCATTTAAACCACTATATAGATTTTCTAAAAAAATCATATATAAATTGTACTGCCTAGGAATAGTGATGTGCATACTTAACTATGACCTAATATATCTTAAGAATGACTTACTCTTCAATATCATCATTAATTGACTTATCTATGCATTACACTGAAAATACAATAAAAATTTAAAAAACTATTAAAGAAACACCCTCAAAAGTTTTAAAAATTATAGAAAAAACATCCTAAAATTTTGTGTTTTAAAAATATGCAAAACTATTAAACATTACATTGAAATAAAGGAATTACAAACAACCATTAAAAATTTTCAAACTTTGGAGATGTTATTTGCAATATACTAAACTTTAAGGGTTTTGTTGTAAATTTAAAATTTAATAGATTTTTCAATTAGTTATGTTCTTTTCATAAAAGTTATGACTAATATTGACCATGAAAAGTTTTTTCTGAACTTATACTTTTAAATGGGATATGATACTTTTTGTAAATTTTTAATTTTCTAGGGGTTGTTAGTAATTTGTATATTCATTTTAGTGTCTATAGGTTAGAAATTACCATGGTATTTTTTTGTAAATTATAAATTTTAGGATTTTTTTATAATTTTTTAGACTTACAGGACTTTTTTACACATAGTAAATTGTTTATAGACTATTTATAATTCCTATATTTTTAATTTACTAATGAGTTT